TTTAGCTCAGTGGATAAAGTGTCAACCTGTGGACTGAAAGGTCCTGGGTTTGATTCCGGTCAAGGGCACATGCCCAGGTTGTGGGCTCAATCCCCAGTAGGAGGCAGCCGATCAATGATTCTCTCTCATCATTGATGTTTCTATCTCTCTCTCCTTCCTCTCTGAAGTCAATAGAAATATATTTTTAAAAAATCTGATTTAGTTACAAATCTTAAGAGACAGACTGATTGACTCCTTAACTTGTGGGCTGATCAAGACTGGATGGAGACCCCAAAGAGCAGGGGTTCTCCGAGAAAGTCTGGGGGTGGGGAGACATAATTGGCATGTCCAGGAGAGAGACTATGAATGTGTCTCTGTTTGAATCTCCCCAGTGATGTGATTCTTCTCCAGCAATAGAGAGGCATGCAATCTCTATCTGACTCGGTTTTGCTTTGCTGGATTGGTTTGACAGAAGGTTAATATTGCCAGGAAATGAAGGGTACTGATTTTATAAAAACTTCAAGTGATCAATCACCGTGTTCATCCTGGGTATAAAAGCAAAGAGATCTGAAGGGAGATAGGCACCGTGGTGCGGGGGAGTACAGGAAGGCAGGGGATGGGAAGTCTCTGAACTTGAACTTCACTCATTATGGAATGTGAACATTAGAGACCTGGCTGGGTAGGAAGCTGTCGTCAGAAAATGAGGAACTGGGAACCTCTGCGGCCAAATGGTTTCCACTGATGAAAATGCCTGCATATGCCTAGAAGCAAGAGCAGTACATTACTAAGCTTAATTAAAAAAATACTTCGTGATGCTTACAGCCCTAAAGTTTCACTAGCTGTAAACTAAATAAATAAACCATTAAAGTAGGAATTCCTGACAAAGTTAGCAGTAAGCACATTGCGATGTTGAAATTCCTTTTTAGATTTTGGTCGGTGACAGCCCACAGTTAGGCACAGGCTTCCTCCTTACGTAGCCATCCCTTTACCTTCCCACTTCTCCCGAGGCTCTAGGCTTATTTTATTGCAGTAGCTTCGTATCCAGCACTTCCTCTAGGTTGTACCAAAATGGTTTACAGTGCCTTCTTTTTTGTAGCCGAACCTGTGTTCTTTCTAATGTGAGCGTATCCTCGAGGTCGAAGATCAGCAGAATCAGGACATGGCCTGTTCCCTTTAGTTCTCTCCTTGTTCTCCGAGCGCGGATTCTTGTCAGGTCTCTCGGAGCCTGTTTCCAGGGCAGGCACAGAACCTAGAAATAGAATAGATTAGTGGTGAGCTGGAGCCAGCTATGTGATTGTTAGGAATTTTGTAGGACAGTTATTAAACATAGCCATTATTAAACATTAAAGCACATACATTTACAGGTAAACGAATTATTATTAAACACAAAGGGAGTAAATACGAAAGACATGCTAGCTACTTGACCTTGTGCACGGGCACTATATGGTCAAAATACTGCACGGCAGGCTGACCGTCATCCCTCCCCAACGCCGCATTCAGTTGTGTTAGGCTGGCAGCTCCAAACCAGCCAACTCCATAAATCAAGGCCTTTCCTCCCTGAAGAGCCTGTTGTTAAACATTTACCCTTTGGTCCACGGGCCGACGCTCCAACCACTGACCCAAACCGGCCAGTGATGGGGTTTGTTCTTTTTCTACCTCCTTAAGGTATAATGTTAGGTTTTTATTTGTGTATTTCCTGGTTTCTTGAAGTAGGCCTGTATTGCTATAAATTCCCTCATAGTACTGCTTTTGCTGCATCCCAGGAATTATAATATGTCATATTTTCGTTTTCATTTGGCTCTATGTATCTTTTGAGGTTTTTTTTTTTACACTTCTTCTTTGACCCAGTAGTTGTTCTGTAGCATGTTGTTTAATCTCTACATACTTGTGATTTTTTTCAGCTTCCTTCCTATAGTTGATTTCTAGTTTCATACCATTTTGATCACACTGGGTGCTTGTTATGATTTTAGTCTTCTTAAATTTATTAGACTTGTCTTCTGTCCCAACATATGATCTGTCCTTGAGAATGTCCCATGTGCACTTGAGAAGAATGTGCATTCTGTTGTTTTGGATGGAAATGTCTAATACATCTACTAAGTCCAACTGCTCTGTGTCATTTAAGGCCAGTGTTTCCATGTGGACTCTGGGTGATCTATCCATTAACAATTTCTCCCTTTAGGTCTATTAATAATTGCTTTATATATTTTCATGCTCCAAAGTTGCATATATATATACACACATATATATACATATACATATACATATACATATACATATACATATACATATACATATATATACATACATATATATATGTATATATATGTGTGTGTGTGTGTGTGTGTGTGTGTGTGTGTGTGTGTATATATATATTTTGTTGTGTTTTGTTAATCCTCACCCAAGGATATTTTTCCATTGATTTTTAAAAAATATTTTTTTATTGATTTCAGAAAGAAAGGGAGAGGGAGAGAGAGATAGAAACATCAGTGATGAGAGAGAATCATTGATTGGCTGCCTCTGTATGCCCCACACTGGGGATCAAGCTCACAACCCAGGCATATGCCCTGAATGGGAATCAACTGTGACCTTCTGGTTCACAGGCTGATGCTCAGCCACTGAGCCACGCCAACTGGGCTCCATTGATTTTTAGAGAGAGTGGAAGGGAGGGGGGAGGGAAGAGAGAGAGAGAGAGAGAGAGAGAGAGGGAACCCTTCAGTCTGTGGGCTGACAGTCTAACCACTGAGCCAAACTGGCTAGGGCAGGTGCTTATATATTAATAACTGTTACATTTTCTTGATAGATTGTCTCCTTTATCATTATAACGTGTCCATATTTGTCTCTTTTACCTTTTTTTTGTCATGAAATCTACTTTGATATAAAAATGACTGCATCTTCTTTACTCTGGATGCCATTTGCTTGGAGCATCATCTTTCACCCATTGACATTGAGCTTATGTTTTCTTTTGTAGCTGAGAAGGGTCTCCTGAAGGCAGCGTGCAGTTGGGTCCTGTTTTTTGTTGTTGTTGTTATTGTTTTGTTTTGTTTTTTAAATCTATTCTGCTACTCTATATCTTTTGATTGGTGGTTTTCCTTTGTAGGTTACTGTCTTTTTCCCCTTGGCTGCCTTGAATTAGAAACTAGGCTAGCTGCTTTCACACAATTATCTAATATTATCCCCATTTTTACAAATGTAGGAAACTGAGACAGAGGATAAGAAATTTGCTCCAGATCACAGCGCCGTAGCAAATGCGCAAGCTAAGTTTAGAGCCTGGTCTTTTCTCCATAGCAGATTGCAGAAATGTTTACAAATGGAAATGAATTAGACGTTTATGGAAATATTTGATAGTGAGGACACTTAATACACACACATGCAAAAGGTGGTATTATGTGCCATGAATATGTGCCTAAGGGAGGAGCTGCAGCCCTCTAGGTCTTCTCGCATCCAACACGCTGGGAGAATAGTGGATAACATTTAGGGGGCGGGGGTGGGGGTAGGGGGACAGGTATTTACTGGGTGTACCTTCCTTACACAGTCCCCTTTAATTCTTATAACAGCCTTTATGAACTCGGTGCTATTATTATGTTTAGATGAATAAGCTGAAGCAGAGAGGCTTTGTTATAAACCCGATGGAGTAAGTGGCAGTTGGAGAGCTGACCCTAGGTGCTGTTACTCTCCTGGCTGTGCTGTTAACTGTTTATATCACATGCCCTCTCGTAATGACTGATTTGTGTAAGAGAGAACGGGAAGGATTTGTCACACTGATTCTTATCTCACGTCGATTCTTATCTGGCTCTAACCAGGCTTGTAAGAATTTCTGCTTGTTTAGTTAGATAGGAAGCTCAATAAAACGTCATATAGAATAAAACAAATACTTAATCCCAAGTTCAGATCTTTCAGACAAAACTGATAATTGTTAATAACCCCCTTTTAGCTCATGATAACTGGTTACATCCTTATAATTTTAAGAACAACCATAAAATATTGATCCAGAAATTGGAATGATAATGCAGCCAGTGAGTGCGTGAGAATAATCCCACACAGATGGGAAGGCTGCAGCTCAGAGCGCAAGGATGAGTCATGGTCTTGGGAGACTTCGCCTGCTTCCCCAGAGTCTGTCAGCAGAGGGATGTGCAAAGTGATGTGATTTTCATGTTTTAGCCTTAACATCTGCTACATGGCAGCTCGATTATATTCCTCTCGAGGGAAACATCTATAAACATGGGTAAAGATTGCCTTTTTACTCATGTTTCCAGGCTGCTTCGCTCTGTAGTCATTCTGTTGGCTGCACTGTACAGTCTCTCTGGGTGACTTGGTGCTCAGCATTTTCCCAGGATTTGATCTTCTTAGGATTTGACCTCTGCCACGAGTAATTCTACCAGGTCAAAGTGATGTGTTTCTCAAAGCCAGATTCTGTCACCCCTGTGGAGATTGGCTCTTTCCTCTCTCTTTCTTTCCCACTTATTCACACACCACTAGTTCTTCAAGGACAGTAAGGACCAGGATTTTAAATGAGCAGTTGTTTAACCAATTTATTTTAGTTTTGTCATTTTTTTTTCATGAAACGTGTGTGGAAGAATGAAAAAATTTGGAAGGTGGCTTAGTGTAGGTTTCCATAAAATCATAGGGAAGATAATAAATAGAAAAATTCATAGTAGAGATAGTAACACAACTAGATTGAAATGTCAGCAGAGTAAATTATTGAGAGGTAAAAATGATAACTACTACATGCATAGGTTAGCATCAGACTCAATATTTTAATTGGTGTAAAGAAGTGTGGAAAATTAAAAGCTAAAACTTAAAAAGCAGACTTAGCTATTTGGACAATTAAAACACATAGCTCTATACTCATAGCAACAGATTGTTTCATTATTTGTTTGTGTGATTGGTATCATCTGTGATTTAGTCTTGGAATAATAGGGTCAGTTGGGAGGGACTGTGGAGTCATTACGGGAATTGAATTGGCGCTGTTCACACACTGCTCTGCTCTCTGGTTTAGAATATCTCTCTGCTGCTTTTCTCAGGTGGGACTCTTCCCTGGACACTGTGTGGAGTTAATTAATCAGAAAGTCCCCCAGTCAGTGACCAACTCAGTGCCAAAACCAGGTGAGTACACTCATCAGCGTGGTATTTTACCAACTGCTTAAACGTACAGGCTTCCTCTTCTAGTCAAGCACGTAGCTTGTTTTGCAATACTTTGTATTTCTCGACATACTATGCATTCTTAATTTTATGTGGCTTTGATTTTAAGCGATTTTTTTTATTTCTCTATTGGTCATTTTACCAAAGTTTACGCGCATTCAAAATTTTAGACAACTTTAAAGAACTCTTTGCTCCACGAAGCTTTGTCATTATTTGTTTTTACAATTATATAGTAGGAATATAGCTTCTTAATGAATAAAATGATGAAAGAAAATACTTTCAAAGAACTGACCGAGAAATAGAATGATTAGCTGAAACTTAATAGATGAAGGGGATGTATAGTTTATCGGTGCTTGTGAGTTTCAAAACTATTTTAAACAACATATCTTACTTATATAAGCATATGTATGGTGCTATATAAATATGTGGAATTTTTTACAAATAATTAAAGCAATGTTAAATTTTTGGTTTTTTTGGGGGGTGATATAATCTTGCCAAATCCTACAGAGTATCTAGTCTGGAACTTTTTAATGTGATAGTGTGGTTAGTACTCTGAAATTATTACAATTTAACATCACAAATTTATTGTGATTTCTTGTACATTGTTTTACACAGTTTTGCTCTACAAGCTCAACTTTTATTAGTTATTAAGCCTCATCTTTGATCATTTTGCCTCAGACATACAGTGAGTTTTTAAAAATTAGTTTAATATTGGTATTAAACTGTATCAATCAAAGACTTTCTCATGTTTTGAATGAGAAAGTGACATTTCCAATTGTGATAACTTCCAGAAGCTTTTAAAACATGAGCAAGTTAGCCAGTTATTGGTATTTCTGGGAAACGGGTTTCTATGAATAGACTTACATGGCATTGTTAATTCTAAATCAGTAATGACGCAGAATGACAGCACCCCTTCAAAAGCTCCTGTCGTCTCTTCTGAGAGCAGCACCCCAGGGCTGTCCTGGGGAAATGTGCCTTCTTGATACATTTTGTAAAGGACGATGTGAGTTCTGCCAGCCTCAGGCTTGTTTCACACTTTAAAACGGTCTCTGCCTGCAGTTTATTTTTACCACTGCCATCTGTCCCTGCTGGATGCCAGATCTGAAAGATGGAGCTACAGTTTGATACTGAAATGCAAAGCTCCCTATATTCCGGCACAACAAGGGCGACAGGAAGCAATTTCCCTTTGGAGCTCTTCTTAACGCTCCCAAATGTTCAATTATTTGTGGATGTAAAAATAAAATTAATAGGTCGCCGTGTCCTGCTGGGAGTTTACTGAGCAGTGGGTCTACTTATTGATTTCTTCCTTCAAGTTCTTCATGCTCTCAACTATTATCTCTTCATTTATTTCTTTTGTGCAATTCTCTGTCTCCCTGTTCTTTTACACGTCAGTTGTCAGTTATGTCCTTTGATACTGACTCACACGTCCTCTCTTTCAGGTTTGGGTACTTTCTAGTGACCTGTCTTAGAGTTCACTGACCCTTTCCTCTGTGTAGGCATCTCTCAAGGCACCTAATAAGTTCTTACATTCTCAGCTCATGTATTTCATTTCTAGGATCAACATTGGGTCTTTTTTATAGTCTCCAAAGATGAATTCTCTCACCTTCTGACATTACTTACCTTTTCCTCCACAAAGAAAGAACGAGGAGTCGGGAGAGGAAAGGAGAGAGTGAGGAAGTGGGGAGAAAAGGTGAAGACAGAAGAAAAGCAAAGCTTACTCTTGAGGCATGAACTTCTAAAAATGAAGGACTAGGGAATTCAGACAAACCTTCCTTGAGAAGAGTTAGCAAATTTGGACCAAAATGAAACTCTCTCTTTGAAGCATTTGAGAATCAATAAGGCAGTAAGCAGGTACTGAGTAAGGCTAAGCAGAAGGAAATCGGTGGAGACATTCTTTCCCTCCTGTATCTGCTGGTAGAGTAGAGAGAGTCATTGCTGGGGCGGGGGGGTGGGGGGGGGCGACAAAAATTGGAGCTCAGAGCCCAGGAGGGCATAGTTGCTGATAAATGCCCCAAGCTTTGAAGTTGGGATTTTTGTGGAAATTGAAAACTGATTCTAAAATGTAGATGGAAATGCAGAGCCGGAAGCACTCCAGACCATTTGGAAGAACAAGAAAGTGGGACACTTACTATAATAGACACCAAGATTTATTGGGAAAGCTTCACTAATTAAGATACTGGTATTGACATAAGGATTGACAGTTAGATCAGTGGAACAGAACAGAGTTCAGAAACCAACCTGTGTACACAGACCCTGATTTATAATAGAAGCGGCGTTGCCCAGCGTTGTCAAAAGGCAGTCATTTCAGTAAATGGTGTTAGGTCACCTGGACAGATTTTATATCTGGTCCTTATTTAACCCCACATCCAAAATCCTTTCCAGGAGAATTATACATCTGTATATGAAAGATAAAACTACTGAAAGATAATGCAGTAGACTATCCTCATGCCATATTTTCATGATCTTAAGTTAGATATAATTGAAAAGCTTAGTAATTAAAATTAAAGTTCAGACCACTGTCATAATATGCTATGAAGATAGTGAGGAGGGCAAATCACGAAGTGGGAACATATTGGCAGTGCACGTATCTGAGAAAAGTCAGGCAACCAGGCTGCGGAAAGTAGCAAATAAGAAGAGGACAGATACACTGATTTTTTTAAATGAGTGAAAACTTGCACAGGTACTTCACAACAAATGTCCCAAATGCTCAATAAGCATGTGATAGGATGTTCAACCTCGTTAATCTTTAGGGAAATGCAAGTTAATACTTTATTGCTTCATATACACACCCACCAGAATGGCTAACATTTAAGAGTAGCAACACCAGAAGTTGGTAAGGATATAAATCCGTGGGAATTCTCATACCCTGCTGGTGGGACAAACATTCTTCATATACTCGTAGGTCTATATAGAATGTTCCTAGCAGCCTTATTCCTAATTGTCAAAAAACGAGAAAAACTCAAAGGTATGTCCGTAGAAGCGTGGGTAAATAAAGGCATGCCCATTCAGTGGACTTCTCCATACCAGGGGAACTGGAAGGGGGTACGGTTCTATGGATGAGTCTCACAAACATAAACGCTGATGAGGAAGCCTGATCTCCATGCACGATTACACCGTGAAATGCCACCAAGCAGAGAGAGTTCAAAGTCACGGAGTCTGAGCCCATTCTGTGGTGGAAGTTACATAGTCCTTCTCGGGACCCACACAGTTCGCTAAATATGAGAGAAAAATAACAAGTGATCTCTCCTGTGCCATCGGCAGCTATTCCGTGACAGAGCAGAGCGCCTTTCAGCCCGCCATATATTTTAGCTTCTCATTTTGAACTAGTTGTGGTCTCAGAGGAAGTCGCCAAAGCAGCCCAGAGGTCCCATAGACTCAACTTCTCCCAGTTGTCACACTCACACAACTACGTATAGAGGACAGTATCAGAACCAGAAAGTCGGCATTGTTCAATCCTGGTGAGCTAGACTACAGACCGTGCTCCAGTGTCGCCAGCTTTGCACAACCATTTTTCTTACCACGCATTTCTAGGTGGCAGAGAGAGTGCAGCCTTTTGGGGTTCAAGTTCAAGTTACTGTTATTAAGTAGTTCTGCAGACCATTGTGGAGTTGATTTGTCCCGCCCTGTGTTTGTATGTTGGGTTATATGAGGGGATGATGAGTTGTGCTAAGTGTTCCCAGGACAGCTTTTCTACAGCATGGATTTCCCCTCCCCCTTCTTCTTTCTGCCTTTTCTTCAGCTTTCTCTTTTCTTTCCCCTTCCCCTTCCCCTGCCCCCCCTTCCCCCCTTGCAGTCTCTAGTATTGACCAAGAAAAGGGTGGAAGGAGGGGTGCTTTTCATTTAAATTTTCACAAAAGAAGGGGGGCTTTGAGTTCTCCGCTCTGAATAAACATAAGAGCCTCATTTCGTACACAGTAAAATGGGAACCTCCACAGCCTTTGCATTGGTCAGAATTAACATGTTTTTTGTTCCTGCCGCATAGTAGAGTTCTCTGTGGCCTTTCATATTTTAAAATCACATCAATTCACTGTTTTTTCTCCATTGTGCCCTACCATTTATAAACAATTTTGTATTCAGAGCTGTATTCAGAGAGGAAGGAAAGAGGGAATTTGATTTGTAGCGGAAGACGTTGGCAGGGTCCTGAGAAGGACCCTAAAGATCTTGAATCAGGCAGCTCCTACCTGTGAGGCCTGGCAGTGGCTGGATCCCTCTGTCTTGGCTTCCTCCCCTCTGGTTTGGGATGTTGGAATCGGCTTCCTAGGGTTGTAATGAAGACTGTTTGTCAAGTGCGTGGATCGTGCCTGGCACCGTGCATCGCTGCTGTGTTTATCAAAAACAAGTTCCTCAATGTGGATTTGCATGGGTGTTAGTAAAAAGTCATTTGGAACAGCAAATACGTTAACCTCTTCCAATTCATTTATTTCTTCAAGTAATTCTAATAGGGTTAACAGTGCCTCGTATAAATATTGACTCTCTTAAGTATTTACATAAGTCGAGTTACACTTTTAACATTTGGTCAGTGTGTAAAGGAGGAGGCCATACTCAGGAAAATTTGTTTAATTCCAGATTTTCAATTCTGAAAAAAACACACAAAGCTATTATATTTTACCCTGAGATGCTCAAGAGATTGCTGTCTGTCAGGATTTTTCACACAGAGGCAGTATGAATTGACACTTTTTAAAACATATTGTTAGAACAACAACCGCAGCTTATCACCAGCAAAGATATTAAAGGGTATGTTTTCTCCGCCTGTTGCTGCCAGTGTCAGGAGTCAGCCTTTCACTGGCAATACTTCCTGCACGATCCACGGCTTCTCATTTATTGGGGCCTTCTGTACCCTCACTTTCCCTGGATCCACTTCTCCCGACCGAATGGTGTAGCTTTGAAAAGAGTAAAAACAACACCGAACGTCAAGTTCTGCTGGGGGTTCTGAGCAGGAAGTTCACCTGGTGAGGCCGAGGGGA